GCAACAATGAATGAATGGAATCCCAAAATCTCTGTAGATGTTCATTGAAATGAAAAATAAACAACCTAAATTTAAAAAAAAAAAAAACGTCAACAAGAAGGAAGTCAACCATACACAGGTCATTTGTTTGCTCTGCCGAAACTAAAGCCAAACCAACTGCTTTCAAGCAGATCCCAACTCATGCAAGCCTTCCATCGGGTTTCCAAGGCTCTAACTGCAGCCAGAGTGCTTCTCAGAGGCAAAGACGATAGAGCTTCGTCTCACATACTTAGGGCATGCTGCTAGGAGAGTGAAAAAGAAAGGCAGACCCTCAACCAGGTGGACTGACACACTGACTGCAGTAATGGGTTCAAGAGTGTCAGAGATGATGAGGCTGGACAGGACAGGACAGGGTTCATAGGTCACTACAAGTTGTGTTCAACTTAATGGCACCTAACAATAATCTTTCTGTGAGGAGACAGTCCATCTTTCTCTAAGAGCTGGTGGATTCAAACCACTGATCTTTTAGGCTTCACCACAACAAACCTCATTACAGCAAAAGAGAGACCTTATTTACTCTACACAACTCCCCAAATGCTCAGAACTTGGAGTGACCAGATAACCCTAAGGTGAAAGCTTAGGGATGGGTATAAAAATAGCATCAAGGGGGAGGGGGGAGGGGTTTGTGCAGGGAGAAGGGTGCAACAATGAATGAATGGAATCCCAAAATCTCTGTAGATGTTCATTGAAATGAAAAATAAACAACCTAAATTTAAAAAAAAAATAGCATCAAGGTGAAAAATATCTATTATTTATCTATATCTAATATATCCTCTATCTAGCTATCTATCTATCATCATATCTAGTCTCTATCTAATCTATCTTCTGCCTATCTGTCTATCTATCTATCATCTATCTATCTCTCCATTGCCATCAGGTTAGAACCAACTAATGGTCAGCCCACCATTCTGATTCCGAGGTGGTAAATCAGTGAAGGAGAGCGTTCACCTTTTTCCCCACAGAGCGTTACCGTTGGGTTTAGCAGCACAACTCCCTGTGCACTACACCACCAGAGCTCCCTAACTGAAAGAAGTGGTGTTCAAAAACACGGAGTCTAAAGGCAAGAAGAGGCTGGAAATGAGGAACCCACAGGGGAAGCGGGAAGGGGTGCTGCCACATTGAGGGGACTGCAGCTAAGGTTATGAAGCAAGGCGTGTATAAATCGATGAAATGGAAATGATACTTGCTTTGCAAACTTATACCTAAACTACAATAGCATGTTCAGGAAAGGAGAAAAAAGGAAATTATTGGAACTTCAGCCCTCACAACCGAGTAACTGATCCTGTGGAAAACAAGTTTACGACCTGCCAAGGATAAACCAGAAAAACTCTGGGTTGGAGCAAGCTTTACAGAAACAGTGGCTGACGGAAGACCTGAAAGGGGCTTGATCATGTCTCTAGCAAGTTCCCAGGTGACTCCGATACTGCTAATTTGAGGACTCCACATGGAGTAGCATTGATCCAGGAAAATGGTTTTCACTGTTGGCTACACCCTGGAATCAACTGGAGAATTTAAAAAAAATACGAAAGCAGACCTGTCCCAAGATCCTTGTTCTGTCCGTGTAGGATGTAGCCTAGGTATTGTAAATTTTTAAAGCTGCCCCAAGCCCAGAAAATTCCAGCTGTTGCCTCCAAGTTGGTTCTTACTCAGGACAAGTCCAGGAGTTACACAGTAGAACTGCTCCATAGGGTTTTCTTGACAAAAGGTCTTAGGGTTTATCTTTACAAAAGCCGATTGCCAGATCTTTCTTCCTCAGCACCACTAGGTGGGTTGGAACCAGCAACCTCTGGATTAGTTGTTGAATGAAGATCTCTTATGCCGCCCAGGGACCTCAGAAGCTCCCCACATGATTTAACATGAGGTCAGAGCTGAGGATCACTTCCCTAAAGAAACTTTCTGGAAACACCAGTAGGCAGTGGTTAAATGCCACAGAGTAGTAGGCTGTTGTTATTATGCACTGTTGCATCACCTGTGACTTATAGCGACCCTGGGTACAACAGCTTTGAACCCTGCCCTATCTGGAGCCAATCTCATCATCTCCAACAGATCCAGTCCCACTTCTCTAGTCACTAAATCAACCATCTCATCCGGGGCTTCCTCTCCTGTGCTGTCCCGCCACCCTTCCAAGCATGATGTTCTTCTCCAAGGACTGGTCCCTCCTGGCTACATGCCCAAAGCATGTGAGACAGAGCTTCAAAATCCTTGCCTCGAGGGAACAGCTTGGTTACACCCTCTCTAGGACTGACACATTTGTTCTCCTGGCAGTCCATGGTATCTTCAACACTCTTCCCCAGCAGCAAAGGCATCAATTCTTCTTCTTCTATTATCCTTAACTGTATGAATATTGTACAGCCCAAGGGCCACTTCCGTCCTTGTCAAGGGGAGTGCTAACCCTCTCTCCTTTCCTATATCTCAATATCAAGGGGGGAAAGAACCCCTCAGCGTTAGGCTGGTAAGCACCATCATGTTAGGGGGAGAAAAGATTGAAGTTGTCAATTTCATCCTGCTTGGATCCACAATCAATGCCCTTGGTACCCAGCAGTCAAGAAATCAGAAGATACGTTGAATGGGAAAATCTGCTATCAGGGGCCTCTCCAAAGTGCTAAGGAGCAATAATGTTAAAGACTAAGGTGCACCTGATTCAAGCCATGGTCTTTTCCATAACTTTCCATGCATCTGATAGTCAGACAATGAATAAGAATCACAGGAGAAGAGCCAACGCCCTTGAGTTGTGGCATTGGAAGAGAATACCATAGACTACCAAGAGAACAAACAAATATGGGGAAAATGCAACCAAGGTGTTTCTTAGAGAAGAGGATAGTGAAGCTTCATCTCTTATGCTTTGGGCATGTTTGTTAGAAGGAGCTCATCCTTAGGGAGAAGGACATCATGCTTGGAAAGGTGGAAAGTCAGCAAAAGAGAGGAAGGCCTTCAGGGAGGGGGACTGGCACAGCGACTGCACTAATGGGCTCGAGTACGGCACAGGGAAGAGGTAGGGTCAGATCTGTTGTTCGCAGGGTTGTTAGGAGTCGTGGTTGACTCGATAGCACCTAACAACAGCAACAACCAGTAGACCTCAGAATGTCTTCCCACGGTGCCTTTTCACTTGCTAAAATTTGGAAACAACCTAAAAACAGCAGAAGAATAGATACACAAATTGCAATATAATCAAACAGTGGGCTATATATTGAATAT